GGGCTACATAGAAAGCATCCCTGGATATAGATAGAAGATAAAAAAACCAGTATCATCCAAGTCATGAGAGAAACTTAGTTTAAACATAGATTTCTATATCCAGCCAATTATTGGGTTGTCGGAAAAGTCATGACATATTTTTTCTATATTTTTCGTTGCAAAAATGCATCATGACTTTTCCAACACCCCAATAGAATTTAAGTGTGAGGAGAAAGAGGGGGACAGGGAAGAAGTAAGAGAGGGAGGGGGGAGGGGGGAGAGAGAGAGAGGGAAAACTATTTTCAATCATATAAAGATTAAGAAATTTTGCATTCCACAGACCTCCTTTGAAATAATTAGTCAAGGATATGCTCCAACAAATAAAACCTGAATTGAAGAAAGGGGAAGATATGGAACCCAAGAAATGGTATACAAAGAAATTAGGAGTCATAAATATACAGCATAGCAGAGAAATGGATTAACAAAATTAACTCAAGAAAAGCAAACATTTTTAATAAACCATTAAACCTAGACAATACTGAAAAAGTAATCAGTGATTCATCCTTTATCAAAGGTCCAACTCCCAGATGGTAGTAACTTATAGTTTCACTTGCAGTGGATTCAAAAAATATTTTAAAGACCAATGAAGGAGAACTTTACCTACCAAATACGAAAACCATGGTAATTAAAATATCATGGAACTAGCACAAGGATAAACAAATGAATAAACATGAAACAGAAGAGTGTGTCCAGAAAAAGACCCACATTTATACTGGAACTTAATATACAAAAAAGAGCAGTGACATCAATAGTGAAGTCAGTAAATGAGTTCTGGGCAATTGATTCTTTATTTGAGCTAAAAATTTAGATCACTACATCATACCATAAGTAACAATAAATTACATATCAATTAAAAGGCTGACCATTTTTAAACTATTAGAAAAAAATATATAGATAAGACATAAAGCCAAAGACATAAAGGAAAAAGATGAGCAGCTTTGATTATAAAACTACTAACTCATGAAAAAATACATTATAAACAAAACTAAAAGACATATGATAGATTAAGAGATATAAGCAGTATATATAACATGATCAGTATCCACTATATTGTATTCATTGTTGTAAAAGAACACCCTCACAAATCTACAAGAAAAATAATCCCATTGTTTAAATGGGCAAATGATATGAACAGAAATGTAAAAAAGTAGAGAGTAGGAATGGAGTAAATGGAATTGTAATAGACAAGCATGACATCGGGGGTGGGAGGGCAGTAGATGGGGGAGGGGGGTTGTTACTTTGTGAGGGTGAAAAGGATAACTATTGCATTGCTCTGTACACCTGAAACTAACAATAAAAAATTTTAAAAATTTTTAAAAAGAAATGTAAAAAAGAAATACAAGTGGCCAATTAACATACAAAAATAAAATTCATCTCAATAGTGATTAAGGAAATGAAAAATAAAACTGAAATGAGATCTATTTCCCTCCATCAGGTTAGAAAAATTAAATATTGATAATATGATGATGTTCTGGCAATGGTATGAGGAAATGGGCCCTTTCATTTACTGTTGATGAAAGTGAAGTGTAGATTAGCATGAACTTTTTAGAGGTCAATGTGGCAATATATACAAAATACCAACTGTGGAGTACATATACTTTGTCCCAGTTTTCTACTTCAAAGGATCTGTCCTATACAAACACTGGCATGTTGTAGAGAAAGGGAACAATGACAATCTAAATTCCTTACTATGGAATACTACCCCATCCATCTAAAAGCATGAAATCAATCAAAATGCACTCACATGAAAGCATCGCTAACTATACTAATGTGGCAAAGCAAGTTGTATAGCAACATACGGAGTATAATTAACTTTTTAAATGTTATATAGCTATTGAAATCCTAGTATGTATAAGGCTTAACTCTTGACAGTGGGCTTATAGAATTGAAGAAAACAGATAAAGTTCCTGGCCTCACAGACTTTACATATCTAATTTGGAGATGGGAGATGAGGGTGGGCTTAGGGAGGGCATACCATAAACTACCTAGCAAACACATTAGCACGATAATTTTATTTTTATTTTTTTATTTTTTTATTTTATTGTTAGTTTCAGGTGTACAGAACAATGCAACAGTGATCCTTTTCACCCTCACAAAGTAACAACCCCCCTCCCCCATCCACTGCCCTCCCACTCCCAATGTCATACTTATCTATTACAATTCCATTGACTCCATTCCCACTCTCTACTCCATGTCCCGAGACTATATGTATATATAATTATAGTTGACATACATTATTACCCACTTCATAGTTGGTGTAGAGGCCTGACCACCACACTGTATATCTGAAGCAAGATAATTTTTGATAGTGATAAATTCTATGAAGGGATTAAACAGTCACTGCAATGGGAAAGGATGCTCAACATAACGTCAGTGTTATCAGTAAATAACAGCAATTATCTACTTGCAGAGAAATCTTGACTTTATGTGTATCCTGAAATTGAAAAACATGTTAAATTCATATTGACCACTTCTGTCTTTGAAGACGTTTCAGCCAGAGAAGATACAATATGATCAAAATTCTGCCGAGATTTTGTAGTGACAGAAAGTACTAAACTGCAAGTCCAACATCTAAGGTTTTCATTCTTGTTCATCCACATTAGCAGAGCTAGATCCAGAAGTCATGAAAAATGAGGAAAATGAGGATATTACTGGCCATCACAAGCTCATAGGCATGTGTTAGGAATACATGGATAGTTATTTTACTTTGTAAAAGTTACAGAATGGTATTCATCTTATATGAGTAGAATTATTATAGGCAGTAAGTATAAACAAAGTGATTGTGGATTGGATCCTATTCATGCCTTTGTTGTAAACAGTGTATATATGAAGAAGGTGGAGAGAGGACTCCAGGAAGAAACATCACACTAGCTTGTGTCCTCCACTGTTTTCATTGGAATAAAAGTTTTGGACTCTAGAGTCCTGCCCACAGGACAGGGACCACTGTGGCCCTAAAGCCAGGCAATGCCCACAGAGCAGAGAATTCCATCTGGGTGTGAATCGTTTTGCTGCCCAAACCATACTCCATTCTCCGAGTCATTTCAACCCCACGGGAGTATAACACGAGCCACGTAGGCCCTCTCCTTCAGAGTTTCGAAAAGCAAAAGGCCGTTTTGGGAGAGCCCCTCCTTTGCCTCTCTCTCAGATCTCAGACACCCTCGCTCAGGCTCCCATCCAAAGGCTGACCCTGCCCAGAGGTGGGTAGCAAATGGACTGCATTTGCTGTACTCTACCAGGAAGCACACTACAAATGCTTTTAAGAGGTCAATGCCCTCCAACTGTGAAATGGTAATATGCTAAATGATGTGCTTAATTAATTTCTATCCAACAGCATACCATAAAATTGGAAAAGCAATTCCATTACCCAAGATCAATGTGCATAAAGTATACACAAAAGGATTAAAAGTTCTCATCAGTAAACTGGTGTTTGTGCTTTGGCTGAAAATCCAGAGGTCCATTTCTACTATAGGCTGATGAATGGTGCACTGGAATGCTTGTCTCCTTCTTTGTGTGTTGTTACCAAATGGGTTAGGAATTACAGGGATAAGATTTTTGCTAGTTCCTTTCAGATTGGGGATCAAAAGGAAAAGCTTCCTGTTAGATTTTACTATGAACAATCATCCTCTTCACAAGTTTGTTTCATTTTCTGTTTATTTGTTTTGTTTTTTAATAACATGCAAAAACAATCCCACCAGGATGAGGGAAACTGAGCTAAGAGGTAACCTGCTATCTCGTGAATATTCAATGACATGGGCTATAGCAATTTTTTACCTAGTCTAAAGCTGTATCTACATAATCCAAATAAAACTGGATGAATGAGTAAAAGAAACAGTATAGCCACCCTTTTTTCCAGGCTACATAATATTATATAACAGCTTTGTAATTATTTGTATAATTTTTAAAATTGCCTATCCAGCTCTTTGCACTCCATGAGACAAAGAGTATGCCTTCCTTTCTTTCATTTCTATATCTCTAGCATCAAGACCAATACCTGGTACTTAGCCAACACTCTAGAAATATTTTTAAGTGAATGATTGAATGAGCGAGTGACAGACAGGTTTCAGACCCAGTTCTCAGGCTTCGTAGGTCATTCCCTTGGTACTAGGATACCTCACCATGAATGGACAAATGTTCAAGGCAGAGAAAGACATCAAGAGAGGATGCCTGTGCCACGGACTATAACTCTCATTTAATTTCATACTAAGTATGGCTGAACCAATTTGGAGATTTGTTTCCAAAAAGCGTTGAGTTATTCACTTGGGATCAGTCATGGTAAATACAAGTCTTAGTGGACTGGCAGTGCGTTACTGTGGACCGCTGCCCAGGACATAGAACTTTAGTTGATGGCACTTTATAGTCTTAACAGAGTAAGGCTAGATCTTGAGTCCGAACTCTTTCCTCATAGAAGGATACACTAAAGAAGGTTGGAGAGCCCAGGCAATGGAAGACAGGTCCAGTCTCTGCTGCTTTTCACAAGAGCGCCTGTGTCAGCAGCGTCAGAGAGAACAGCAGGAACTCCCACTTTTCCTGCTGGGAGTCACCTGCTCCTGGCCCTCTTACCTGCCCCTGAATCTGAGGACCAAAAGCAGCATGGTTTCCCAGCCTGAATCCCACATCCCAAGCTAACCTGATCAACCTCACTAAGAATGGGTAACAGAGTACCAGTGTTCCACCAAGACAGGACCCTTCCTTTTATCTTGATCTTCAGGCGGCAGTGACCTCAAGCTATCTTTCTCAGAATGTTGTGAAAACATTCTATACACACACACACACACACACACACACACACACACACACACATATACACATACATAAATTATTTTAGTATTTGGAAAGTTATTAGTGTTTAAATAGAGTATTTGACTCAAAGCATAGCCAACCTTGGCAATAATACTTTGGGTATGCAGCTTACATTTATCATTTCTTATTCCCTTTTCTTTACCAACACCCCCGTCCCGTAGGAAAGGAGCCTGGCGGGGGAACCAAGAGCTTGGATTGCAAAGTTGAGGAGAGTGCCGAAACACCTGCTCTGGAGGACTCCTCCTCGTCCCCCGTAGACACTCAGCAACATTCCTGGCAGGTTTCCACAGACATTGAGAACACTGAAAGGTAAGTGGGAAGGTCCCCTAAATAGACTGCCAATCCTCCTCCACTTTATACTTTTCGGGGCTATAGAGAGTCAAGAATTTCTCAGAAACAGAGCTTTCAGGAAGCTGAGTTGTGGGAAGGAAAGGGGTCTAGATCCTGCGGGAATAGTAGTGCTTCCTGCAGTGGAACGGGCTCCCAGGCCTGCGCTCACCCACTCCACTGCGTCTCCATGGAAATGAAAGTGTGCTTCCTTGGAAAGAGAGAAAGTTGGATCTATCTACCGTCACAGCTCTCTCACTGGGCCAGGACTCCAAATCATGCAAAGATGCCTCCGGTAAATTCTCAGATTTCAGGTGTATGGAGTGGCCTGCTTAGCTGCGGCCACTTGGGCTGAGAGTCCTGTCTAGTTCATAAACAGCTGTTTACAGGACTCCTTTCTCTTCTCCCGGAATGTCGATCATGGCCCCTTAGTGGTCATAGCGATTTAATGCATTTGCCTTAACAAACAGTTGCTTCCTGTCAGAGGAAGTTTCTTGGGAAGAAGAGATTCTGCAGTAATTCTATTTCACTTGGGGGAGAAAGGGGGCAATGATAATACAATAAGTGTTATGTCTCATCTAGATGCTAAAAATGCCACTCCATGAGGCAGAAGGACAAGGTCCTTGTTTATTGGCCTTCACACTCATATCTTGTCCTTTGCTACTAATGTCCCCAGAGCCAACACAAAGCAGCTGAATGAACACTGGGCAATTCCAGTGCTCTGTGCATGTGGGGTTGAGTCATTGACAAGATAATGAACATTTTATTTTTCTTATTTTTAGAAATGTAACACATAAGGGCATTTATGGCCATTGTGGTTCTACTTTCAGATTGTAATATAATTCTAAAGCTAATTACCAAATTTCTGTGTTTATAGAAAATTGAAGCATGTGGTAATTATGTGCTATTAATAAAACTTGGATTTTGCATAAGCTTGGAAATCCAACAATTCAAACAATAAAGCTGTTTGGCACGGTTTGATGGAACTATAGACAAATGGTGAGGGAGTGATTTATCTTAGTTTATAAAATGGAAAATGCTTTGCTCTAGTCCCAGGAAGCAATCTCTGCCAGAGCGCTATGGTCATAGCAGAATCTATCAACAAAGCTTTTTTCCTTTTCAGAAACCTTGCACAGAAGCTACATCCAAGCCCTGTAAGCTTGTAGAAAGCAAGTTACGGCTGGGAATGAGAATAAGAGAATATAGCCCACAGAGTGGCAGTGTTTCACTTCTGCCTGAAAGCCTGGATTCAGGTTAAAGGAGGACAGAATGCCTGAGAGAAGAAGGCAGCACGTAGAACTGTCTGGGAAGGGGGTTTCCTCAGTTCCCTTGTCTCTCTGTCCTAGGAGATTGGTGGCTCTCAAACTGAGCTGCACATCAAAATCACAAAGAGGGCTTTTAAAAAACATTGATGACTGAGTCCCACCATAAACCAACCAACTCAGGCTCTCATGGGTGGGGCTCAGCATAAGGTAATTCTCCCATGTAGCAGCCATGGCTGACCATTACGGCTGGCCATTAGTGCTTTCCAGGGAGACCTTGCCTCAATCTCACATGCTCCACTCCTAGCCCTTTCCCATCTTGTGCCTCCCACCATCCAACCACCCCATCTACCCTTGGGAATTTTACAGAGCATGCCCCTTGCACTTCTGCCCCCACTTCTTCTTTTAAAAACACCCTTTGGGGCTTGTCAGCATGCAGTGCCCCACAGACACATCCTCACACCTGCGGGAAAGCATTCTGACTGCGTTTACAGGTGTATTTCTACAGATCCACAGGCTGCTTTCCCCTCCTTTTCCAATCCACCATTCCTTTTCATGTATTAGTAAATACGTGAGGAGGAGACCCCATGGGGTCTCTGGTCTCCCTAAGACAAGTGGTCTTCAAACCGTACTTAACAGAGCAGTTGTGTTTTATGAAAGGGACTGAGGAATTTCAAACCTAAAATTAAATGGTGGCTCTCTTTCCTCAAATGGAAGAAGAAAAGTAGGTTCATAGATAGGATTTCCTCAGCTTTAGGATCATCCTACACCCCCCCCCCAAATTTTCATAAACGCTTGGTGCCTGCTATTGCTTGCCTATTCTAGAATTAACTAAAAAAATGTGTGTGCTCTTTTTTTTTTAAGATTTTTATTGGGGAATTGGGGGGATGGGAACAGTGCTGGGGAATTAGCAGAAGGGGAACAGAAAAGTTGCTGTCCTTTTGTTCTTCAGTCTAGTTGTGGAGGAAATTGCTTCACTGGCCCAAGTTGGCACCATCATTGCGCTCTTCCAGGGTGAGGCAGATCAGTCGCCGGCTTCTGGACGGCCGTTCACTGCGGTTGCTGGCCGCTCATGCTGGCTGCTGGCTACACACGGTAGCCCATGGCAACCCACTGCCACAAGGGCTGCAGCCCACGCCATCACCGGTGACCCATGGCAGCCCAACTCCAGGTTGAGCTGTTGTTCAGCATCTTAGCTGCAGAGGGCAGTGTCATTGGCCCTCGTATGTGGGATCCGAACCGGAGCCCTCTGGTGTCCCAAGCCAGCTCTTAACCATCGCGCCACTCGGCCGGCCTGTGTGTGCTCTTTTAAATGAAATCTACTCTATACCCTGGGATTTCAAGAGTGCTAACTCCAGTGGTGACCACCTCAACATGTGGGGAACCACTGTGCCAAAGATTTGAAAAGTCCAGTTTGCCCCTTACCCCAGACTAGAAGCCCCCTAAGATGGCATCCTACTCTACAGTTCTGTTTTATGATCATATATACTCTGAAATGAGAGAGGATATTGGAGGTATGCAGCATCAGACATACATGCCAGCGGCTAGAGGAAGGCCCAGCTGTCCTAAGTGCCCCTTTGTCTCTCTGTCTCTCTCTCTCTCTCTCTCTCTCTTTTTCTCTGTTTCATCCACTGGGAAGAGTTCTTCTCTGACAGTTTTAGAATTTGTCATACTCTCCCATCATCCCAAGTCAGTTTCATAACTGTTGGCCCTATGAATGCTTAACACCTATGTTGCACCAAATTCCAATCATGGTAAATTTAGACAACAGCAAGTGAACTTACACAACCATAACAGCTGTCCGACCATAAAGCGTTAGAGCACCATCACCCAGCCTCAGCTTTTCCCAGGGTACCACCTGTTATTCTAGTTGTGTGTCCTTTGCCTCCCGTTGGAAATCAGAAGTACTATCCTCACCATCAGAGGCTCTTCGCTGATCTCAGCCGGGTCCAACCGAAGGCAGAGATGAGGACTTCTGTTGCAGAATGCCCTATGGAAATGTTTGCCAGAGTAGTTGTCTTTCCTTCCAGAGCCAACTTATCTCAGATGATTCTCTAATAAAAGCAAAATAAATTCAATATTTGCCTGTCGGAAACTAGAGCTAGCACAATTAAGCACAGACTCTTGTCTTTTATTTGTCTCATAGAACAGACTGTTTGAGATTGCATTTCAAAAATTTACAGCTGATTATTTTTTCTTTTTATCAATTGTACAGAGACATGCGAGAAATGAAAAATCTTTTAAGCAAACTCAGGGAAACTATGCCTTTACCACTGAAAAATCAAGGTGAGTCTAGCCATTTCTTTTTGAGGCAGAGGATGTTTTTAACATGATAACCTTGGGACTTGTTTCTAGAGGAATTAAAGCAAGTTTTTGGGGGTTTTTTAACACAAACAATAAAAAACTGAGCATACATTTGTCTTTCCTTAAAAAAAATGTGCTAATGAGAGTAGAGTCCCTCAGGTGAACACAGTTTTGCCTGAGGGTAGCCAAGATTTGCTCTGACCTCAAAACAGACACCTTCTCCCCTGGCCCTGACAGTCAAGGGCATTGATTTATTGCCCATGTGTGGGAAGCACCAAGTGTGGCAAACACAAAAGGACTGAAGACGGCCCTTGCCTCTGAGAGGTTTACAGTCTGAAAATAAAATCAGATCCCACAAGTTACGGGCTTTGTCCTAGAAGACTGCCCCCACTCACACACACACACTTCAGATGCCAATTGCAAATCCAGGTTGTCATCTGTGTTTCTGAGCAACCAGCTATAGATTGGAAGTTCCAATGCTCCTCTTCTTGGATTCAATTAATTTGCTAGAGCAGCTCACAGGACTCAGAGCAAGATGTTACTGACTAGATCACTTGTTTATTATCAAAGGACATACCTCAACAGCCAGGTAAAGAGATACACAGGGCGAGGTAAGGGGAAAGGATGAGAGCTAGCATCTCTCTCTAAGTGCACCAATTCTCCCCAAATCTCCACATGTTCACCAACCCGGAAGCTGTTGGAACCCCATCCTTTCGGATTTTTATGGAGGTACACAGGCATGATTGATTAAATCATTGGCCTTTGGATCTTGAACTCATCTCCTGCCCTCTCTCTCCCTTCTCTCGAGGTTGGGGATGGGACTGGAGGTTCCAACCCTCTAATTGGTTCTGCTGGCAACCAGCCCCCATCCTTAGCTGTTTTTTTAAAAGTCACCTCATTAATATAACAAAAGACTCCTTTTTGGCTCTCATCGCTTGGGAAATTCTAAGGGTTTTAGAAGGTCTGTTCCTGGAAGAGGAAGAACAAATATCTATTTCTTATATAAATCACAATATCACAGCCATTATCCTAAATACTGTAGATTATTAACTTATTTAATTCTAATAGCACATTTAAGAGAAATGCTATTAATGTTGACCAATTTACAGAAAACAGGCACAGAGAGGCTAACTAACTTGGCTAAGGTCACACAGAGAATAAGTAGAAAGGCTGGATGTGAGCCCAGACAGGCTATCTGCAGAATTATCCTATGGAGGTATACATCCTAACACAGAAAGGGAAAGGGGATAGTCACTAGAACGTAAGCTCTGCGGGGAAGGGCCACTAAGCTTTTGTTAAATATTGTATCTCCAATACCTAGAACAATTCCTGGACCATGAACAATAAATGTTCATTAAATCTGGATCCAACTTTGCAGCCCGGCATCTGAAGCTCTGTACAAAGGACTAAAAATAACACTTTCACTAAGCATACATGGCCTGAGCAGCCTTAAGTGAAGCATCGGCTTCAGAGCGTGGTACATAGAGGGTGGGAAAAGGGTTTTTAGAGGTGAGAAAGAAAGTCGTTTTTATTCCACTGAGCAAAGCCTGGAGGGTTGGAGGAGCAGGGTGCTGCCTGCCTCTTGAACAAGGACGGAGAGGGTTTGGCAGCAAAGACGGAGCGCCTCTCAGCTCAGGGAACAGTGTGGCAGAAGGTGGAGAAGTGGAAGTCAGAACACCAGACAAAGGTGCCGAGGTGTGGCCTGATTCGAATGGGATAGAGGCAGCGTGTCAGAAAATAAGAGGCAAGGGGTGCCGTGCATCAGGGAACTGGAAGCAGGCCCTGAAGGGCCTGGTGACCAGGGCTAGCTGGCCTGAGCCATGGGTGCAGTGTCTTGGAGACCTTGTCATGTTTTAAGAAAGCAGTGTTTTACTACATGTGACCCCAGCATGCAAGTTCGTTACTAGAAATAAGCATGGAAGTTGGGAACAGGGACTTTGGATGAAGGCTAGGCTTGGGTCTGATGCTGGCTCTGCCACTTACCGGCTTTATGCTCTGGAACAAGTTTTGCAGCTTCTGAAAACTTCCATTTCCTCATCCCTGAAAAACAGATAACAGTATCACTTAGTCCACAGAATTGTTGTGAGGATTAAGTGAAACAATCCATGCCATATGCCTACTACTGGCCACCCAGAGAGCAAACAGTCAACAAAGGCTTTATTATTGTTGTTGTTGTTGCTATTTACCAGCTGGCCCATCCAACCCAGCTCAGGAAAACTCCAAGTCACCATGAAACAGAACAGTCTCTGCTCTGAACCACTCGCTCTGAAGCTGACTATGGGTAGCGTAGTTTATGAAAGTTGATCTTCAGCCTGTGGTTCGGAACACTGATCCCCGAGACTTTAGATTTGGAGCTCATGTTTGAAACTACCCTCAGCTTCCCAATATGATATTTGGCAAGTCAACCCCGATCAACAACTCGCGGACCCTCACTGTACCTCACATTCAGCTGCCAGGAGAATGACTGTCCAGGGTGCCCCAGTCTGAATTTTGGGCATGACATGTCGCCTCTCTCCTAAATCAAACCCTCCGAAACATTCCCTCTGCATTTAGTGAAAATTCATCCAGCAGTTTTCGAGCTATGCATTAACAGAAAGAGAGAAATTTCATTTTATTTACTTAAGACATCGTTATAATCATAAAAAGTATAATGTAAATATGTTTGTGTAACTTTGTATTACTTTTATGAACAGAAAAATAATTGGATTTTCAATACATTTTAAATATAATACTAATTAAAGATGGATACCCTGAGTAAAAACATGAATGAAAATGGAATAGTCATCCAAATAAATGATACCTAGGATTTGAACCCTGAATTCATTTGGGGAACGAGAAGGAAACAGCTAGGCGATACAAGGACTTTTTTAGGAGGGAGTGATGCAGTAGGATTTTAAATTAATTTTTAAAAATCGAGGTAAAGTCTTGTGGGCAATTCAGGTTTCTTGATTTATGAGAGAAATGGGAGACATTAGTGTGTAAAGACACACCACTGTCCTCTACATGTTTAATGGGTACTCACAGCATCATGTCACTGCAAGCTGACCAGTGGAGGAAGGTGGATGTGAGTCTGGGCTGCAGGAAGAGCTGAAAGAAGGAGAACAAGTCCCTTGAGTCCCTCTGGGAATATTTTTTAGCAGATGCACATGGCATGATTTTCATGAACGAACCAGCCAGATTGCTCTGACTATACATACCAAGATAAACCATAGAGACTTCCCCATGACCTGCCTGAAATTCTTTCCAGGTGATTTGTTTACTATACAGCTAGGTTAATATATGCAGGAAATGGTATTGGGTAAAATGTAGAAAAATGTATTCCAGTTCTTTTCTGTAGGACTTAATTGTCAAAACACAATACTAACTGGATGAAAACCATTATAGAAAGCCATCTGTTTTCTTTCCGGCTTCTTGTTTTCTTTGTCTTTTTATTCCATTTATGTGTGTGTGTTTAAAGCAGAGAGGAAAAAAAATAAAAGGAAAAGATATTACTTCTTGTCTCCCTTTTTCCTTCCTCAAACCCTGACCATGTGAAAATCCTGCCAGGCAAGCGTTGGGGAGCCTACACTGGAAATAAACGCTCAGATCCCCCGGCTCCCCAAGCTTCATCGTCGTTCTCAAGTCAGGAACTGTTCCACATTGATTTGAGCATTTAAAGATTTAATCAGATCTTGCCCCCTTCCTCCCATAAGCAGAACTTGACAAGTATTTGCTTTACATTGATTTTCAGTGGCAAATAAAGGAAGGTGGCCAAGGGCAGGAGTTTTAATGGTTAGTGGTTATACCTTCATTTTAGACAGGGCCTCTTTCCCATCCTTCCAGTTGAAGACCGGGGACAAAGAGGTGCACAAAAGAAGAGTGAGCCACCCTTGTTTGCCCCCCACAATGTCCAGATCTCCTAGTTCCCAGCCCACTGTTCTAGCCATGCTGCAGCACCTCTCCCGTCCTACAATCTGGGCCACTGGCCATGCTGGAGGGTGCTTCATTAATTCTGATAGTCTTGCTGTGTCAAATGGATTACAAACAGAACCACCTGTGGAGAGCCCACAAGGTGACTGACAAAGGCTAAAAGGAGATTGGAAAGTGAAGGACAAGCATCTTCTAAATGCATGTTGTAATCAAACAAAGAAAAACGGCAGAAACAAATTAAGCCTGAAAGACAGGTTCACCTTTTCTAAAATTCCAACTTGATACATGCTGTGGGGTGTGCTGGTACAATTCATTCTTGCCTAGAATTTGGTTGTTGATATTATACCATGCATTAGGATCATTCTAAAGCAGGTCCATCAGGAATTGGATCTGTTCTAGCATGGGTACCCTCCTGTGGACAGCCCTATTCCAGACTAAAATGGGTCTAGGGCCAATGCCCCAGATTCATACCCCGGATCCACTGCCATCTGGACCCCCATATCCAGAACCAACCAGGTCTTTGGTTAATGCAGTGGTTCTCAAAGTGTCCTTTAGGGACCAATAGCATCAGCAGGTTTGAGAGCTTGTAAGAAATGCAGATTCTCTGGCCCCACCACAGACCTACTGCCCCTAGAGGTGGGGCCAGAGATCTGCGCTTGAACGAGCCCTCAGATGACACAATGCAGCTCATGTTTGAGAACCACTGGGTTCGCTGAAGGTCTCTTTTTTTTGGAATAGAAACTCGCCAACTGCAGTTTTAATACAAGTACTTCTCTTGACTTTACCTAAGAGCATAGCTTTAAATGCAAACACTCAGTTTGTTATTTGAAAACTCATTTTTATGTATTTCTGTTTTTTAGCATATCATCTAAGTAAGACATCTTTTATTAGCAAAAGAAATTTGAGCAATATAGACACGGTATCCCAGGCTTTAGTAGCATCCAAGAGTTAAACACTGAATGACTGAGATTTGAACTTACTGATGACTGAATTTCCTACTCTGCTTTCCTCTCACTTTTTCCCATGCTTTCTTCCTTTCTTCCTTTTCCAAAGTCACAGTTCTCTGAGACTATGTACTTTAGAAAAAAAATGCTACAAAAGTCTCAAACATTTGCAATAAAAATCAAAGGTTTCCCAACTTTCTGGGGTTAGTGCAGAAAGTTTAGAATGTGTGGGGAAGCGGTCCATTTAGCTCACATTCCTTTGGCAACCCTTGACTGCAGAGACAGGATTTCAATCGATGTGGAAAGACATCTTTCCTTGGAGTTGAATTCAAACTATTCCAGGCATACTCACTGCTCCGTGAATTTCAGCATTTACTGCAGGTGTCAGCTTCCTATGGTGTAGAAAGCTGCTCTGAATTTCTGCCAAGAATTTTTGAGCTTTTGTGTCACCTCAGCCTTAGGTGATGATGAGACAAGGTCTGAAACGGGAGAAGTTGTCACAAATACTCAACAAAGATGCCCCAAACCAGCAGTTGTCCTTAATAGGCAGCCCGCTCTTTGTTTAACATCCTGGCATTTTCTCAATCCTAACATTTCCTATTCCCTTTTGAGTTCTATGTATGTTTATGTGTATGCGTGTATAGCACTCACATGTGAATATATATATATATACATATATATATATACACATATATATATATATGAAGAAGACTGGGGAGACTTTCAATAGTGCAAAAGGTTTCTGATTCACTGTAATGAATGCACAGATACAAGGGTCAGTCTTGATACAAATCTCATAATATCTGTTTATAATACCTGTGTGCTTTTAATACATAAAAAAGAGAAAACGGGAGCAAATGTACCACCACAGCAGACACATACCACAGCACACACATGCACACTTTCTTTGTAAATACAGCTTTGTAGTGGACATTTCCTCATGTAGTGGAAACCATACACATCAGAATTGCATTTTATAATATATAAATACCAGTTAGGTCACTCCCAAAATCTCTTAAATGTTTGGAGAAAGGGAAGGATATTTGGGAATTCAGGAAATAGATCTTCTAAGTTTTAAAAAACTGGAAATGCAAAGATTTTTGTTTCGCCCCTATAAATATCTTCATAGTTTTGATGATCCTGTTCCAAGGAAGCATTGAATTCCAGATGAACTTGAGTTTCAGGAAGTGTAGTCAGTATGCAGAGATTCTGAAAGGTAAAATTCTTTACCCTTCAGAGTCTCCTATATCTTTGCCATATCCAATTAGGTTAAGTTCATCACTCATTTGGTAGCTAAAGAAGTAAGAGTCCTAAAATGGTGAGAAAGTAGGTTACCTTTCTGTTCCAAATATATCATGATTCATCTCTGAGAGATTATCCTGAGAAATCAGGCTCATATATAATATCTGACATTGCTTTCAATGTCTTAACTATTTGGGGCAAGTTTAAAAGAGAGATGTCCTATTTTTAGCTCTCAAAATGTTGGCATCCAGATTATAGTGAATTATATTTCACTATGAAAAGGACAAAGAGAGTCTTCCCTCCCCCCCATGTTAGCAGAATATGAATGTTAAGAGAGGGTTTTAACCTGTGGGGACTGGGAGAGTGGACTGTGTTTGATGAATTTGATGTGTCCAGCTGGGGCACCTGTTTTCATCCCTGGCTCCAACTTGCTACTCCAGTTCCATCTAAATGTACAACATAGTATACCATTCCGAGGAATACTGTCACCTTGGTGGGTGATGCTAATTTATTTTAAAGTATGACACTTGAGTACCTTTGGGGAAGGGGAGGAAAAGCTTGGGCACTTGGATGACACAATTTATGTAAGAGGACTAGAAAGTGAGGCCTCATTTTTGTCCTTGACAGTTTCCTGAGTGCCTAGGCTCAGCAATCAACAAAAACCTACCCTCATCTACAAACCAGTTTTATTGAGGTGGGCCATGTTCTTCACTTTATCCATGTCCTCATCTAACTCCTGATTCTGGGCTCTTTCCCAAGGTCCCATCTGCTCAAGGTTAGGCTGTGGAAAGGAGGGTGCCCTTTAGCTCTGTTCTTGAAGGGCAGTGCAACTAGTCCTGGCAGAGCTTGGGTCCCTAACAGTTGCCAACACCAACCAGCCATATGGGTGCCCCTAGCTCCAGTCCAACCATGGCCTAGCGCTGCCCCTGTTGGCAGATTCCAAGTTATTTCCTTGTGGCCCTCTGGGACCCACACTAGCCAGATCTACTCCAACACAGTCTTTCTACTCCTCTTCTCTTTGGACTGCGCTATTTCCTAAAACCCCAGCTCATCACACCCGATTTGGTTTACTGGCTTATTTCTTCCTCTCCTTGTCATCATGCTAAAAATTTCAAACCAAAACGTTGGAATTCCACAGCTGGCAATCGTCTTGGAATACCCTTGTTATAGAAATCTCTAGAAAGTGCTAGGGAAAGACTCAACAAGGAGTAGTCGAAACATCTTCCTGAGGCATGATGTAGGCAAATGGAGGCAAGGCAAGGGTCCTACATCAAGGGAAATAGTTGATAATAGCTGCATTTACTGAGTGCTTCCTCTCTGCTAGACACCAAGGTATGTCCCCAAGCTAAATGTCTCTCATAGATTATTTCATTTAATCCTCACCTATTACTAAAACCTATTTTACAGATGGGAAAACTGAAGGTTAGTAAGCTTAAATTATATGTTCAAAGTCACAGTGCAAGTAAATAGAGGCAAGTTTGGAAAAGAAGCCAACCTTACTCCAAAGCACAGGCTCTTTCTGAGAAGGTATACTTTTCCCCACTGAAAGGTAGCCTCTAAGCAGTTAAAATTTAATTCTAAGCAGTGCCTCTCCACTGTGGGCTGTTTGCACCTCCCACGGGGATTATTTGGCCATACCTGGGGACATTTTTAGTTGTCACAACTGGTGGGGGGAGTGCTACTGGCGTCTAGTGAGTAGAGGCCAGGGATGCTGCTAAACTTCCTACAATGTTCAGGATAGTCCCCCAAAATAAAGAATTATCTGGGCCAAAATATCAATAATGATGACATTAAGAAACCTGGACTCAAAGGATGGTGGATATTTAAAGTCAATTCATAAAAAGAAGGTTTTGTCTGTACTTCACTCATATGTATTTTGTCCCATCACAGATGACAGCAGCCTTCTAAATCTAACTTCCTACCCTTTGGTTAGAAGACGGAAGAGAAGGTTCTTTGGGCTATGTTGTCTCGTCTCAAGCTAGACAATTCCTCCTGGAAACCCACCACTAGGGAGACCTGAAAAAAATCACAGAAGCCAAGGACCTCCAGACAGCTGAACCACTGTTACTGGTTTTGACTAGGTTTTCTATGTTTCCTTATTATTTTTATCTGCTTCCCCTGCCCTTTTAAATAATTTTACATTTGAAAGTAGCTGCTGTCAAGGAAAAAAAAAACACAGATTCAAAAAGCAGGCTGTTTTTAAAAGGATTTTTAAATTTGACATTGTGCATGTCTGCTCCAAACCATACCATAACAGACACAAGTATTATGATTTTTAGGTTACTTAAAGGTGTTTTTTTTAATGTATTATACAGAGAAAATTATTTCATGTATAATAGTATATCTATAGCTCTTGCTTATCTCATGTTAACAATTGATCATATATGGAAGAAGTCTTTAAACATAGAAATCTATTTAAAACTGAAAAACTGTTAAAACTCGAATATATCAATATCATTAGAAATAATATTATAATCAAACATACCACCTCACTATTGCTTTCTCTGCTTTCATTCACATTTAGTCTTCCATTCTGTCAGAATCTAAGAGCTTCAACAGAAAAACATCTTAATTTATAATGCACAAAAACCATATATGGAAAGCATTTAAATTTTGTAAATACACAATAAGCCTAAAACCTTCGTACAATGCATACAGGCAACGAATTTCCTTTTGATCCAATGGTGTCTTTTTCAGCTTCTTGGAGAATGAAGTAATCCAGTTAGAAATGGTGTAGTAACATATACAATTACCCTCCAATGTAACATTGAATATTATCACATTTTGTTCTAATTGAAATCTGAAGCATGATGTCTGCACATCAGCATAGTGTTAACTCTTTTAGGGCATGCTGGAATTAGCTCAGATCGTTAAAATATTTAACATTTTACATTGTTAATAAAATCGTTTTAGTTAAGCTAAGCTTGTCTCATTTTAGATGACTATGCAGATATGACTTTTCCAATGTGTACTTGGTGTCTTATCTTATGCTTAGAATCTTGAAAGCAGGACACATGAAGCAATACTATATTTTAGAAAGGAGGAAGCCACGTGCTTTGTTTTTCAGGCTTTCTTTTTCTGCTCATAGCTTTGTTGTGATCTTTCTCCACTAAGCTTGTAACATGGTACAAATTTTGTTATATTTCCCCCTGTTCCTTCTTTGGCCCATTTCCCAGACAGAATTACCCATGGGCTAAGAGATCATGCGTTTGGACTTTTCTTGTTTTCCACAGTCTGAGAAATCGTCAAGTCTGACAAGAGGCACCAGTGTCAAGTACTATAAAATGACGAGCTAGATGCCTATAAATGGTTTATCCAAGACGCATTTTTAATCCCAACCCTATCATTTCTCTGTACTTATGTGCACAGCTGTTCATATGTCCACCACTATTTTGACCTGAAAACTAAATATATTAAAGCCTTTAGCTTTAGTGAAGAGGAAGACAGGTACAGACAAATTACTGGAATAATTATTGCATTAGGTTAAATTTGATGACGTTGCTGATATTTGCCTGTTTTGACATAAAAATGGGCAATTTCATATAGTTCAACCTAACACCTGATATTGTGGAAATTATCCTTAGAATTGCATTATAGCTTTTTTGATTGGAAGTGAAAGGATTGAATGGTTGGAAGAGATATCAAAAGGCTATTCAGGTCTCTATTTAGATCATACCAGCTGGTTGTTGGCCTGATTCTTAGAGTCCAAAGTTGGGTTCCAATGAACTGGTAATTGATGCATGATTATTATAGGTCTGTCTGGCTTCATATAAAGAAGGACTCTCCAAAATTATATGAGAAAAATCACAATTTTCAAAATCAGATATTTGTAAAACAGTTGTGGGAATATGCTATTTAAAGACTCCCGTGGTTATATATTCCCAGCAAAGCAGGTAACCACGCCCAGATTTACCTGATTTTCATAAATTTGATTAAAGATGAATATCCTTTCCTGAATGTGGTTCATTTTCATCTTCTGAGGTTAATTAACTTGAGGTCCATTGTTTTAGAAATTATGAGGTAGCCCAATTTGGCGCGTTCTCAGCCCCTGTCTCTGCCCTCTCCCATTTTTATACCATGTTAAACCCATAGCTTCATTCTAGTTCCTACTAATCCATGCAAAGTTACTAACTGATAAGTTCAACCTTGGTGTTCAGCACTTTCTTCTACATGCCTGGCCTAAATCACTTCTGCTTGGTTAATTTGTGCTCACTCTAGCCTTAGTCTCAGCGTGAAAGTGACACTTAACCTTCTGTGCAATTGTCCTTTGTACAATTGAAGACTGTTAATACATTCAGGTCTCACCTCCATGTTTAGGAGGATTATAGCAGCATTTCATGGAGATGGGAATTTGTCTAATTCCCCAACTAGACTTTCCATATGTAAGGTAAATAAATTCAGCCACTTTATCTTTTATTCATAGTGCCTGTTTCCCAGACTTGGATCAGTTTTGTAGTTCCCGTAGACATAACTCCAAGATTTATAGACTTTTTTTCACTAGCAGGTCCTAAAATTAAATTTAGTGCTCAAAGTCCTGATAACCTACACTGGCTCATAGTTGCAATAGATAGTGTAGTATCTCCCATTAGATAGAACCCTGCTGACACTCCTCTCCTGTCACCTACCAAAGGACTTTCTCAGGTGTAGTTCCATGAGATAGAGTTCTGTCTCGGCTTTCTGCTGGTACTTTGCTTTTAGATTAGCAATAACACTGAGCTAATCTCTAGGGATAAGGAGAGACCATTGAACCCATTTTGCTGCATGTACTCACATGCTTGAAAGAGAAAAGGATGTGAACTTTTCCTGGCACACAATCACCCATTTTACCGCCATATTTTTAATACCCCATGTTGATTTTTTTTTTCAGATTACAGAGGCTATACATGTTCTTTGTGGGAAATCTGAAAAATACTACCAAGTATAAAGAAAATAAAAGTCACCTGAATTCCACCACAATCACATTGTTTAAAACCACATTTCCAGGCTTTAAATCAGTTGATGGTGGGGCCCAGAAGCACCTTTGGATAAGGTTTGTAAAGAAATGTCCACAAGGCCAAAGGGTCGCTTTAAAAAATCTGACCACTAAATTTGTGCACACAGCTAGGAACAGATTCACTGCACACGTCTGGTTGTGCCATTGTTCAAGGGTACAAAGAAGACGTTAGAAGTAGCACAGCCCTGATGCCTCCTCTAATGAAAGCTCTTGGGGGAAATTACAAAATCCTGCCAGGTCATTGTGTTCCTTGGTGCTTCTTGTAACATTGGGATACTTACTGTTTGGCAATACTGCCACCTACTGAAAGCTGAGCTTTAGAGTGAGAGGGGACAATGACTATAGAGTATAAAAGCATCAATTTACTTTAGATAGCAAACAAACAAGCCAGATTAACAATGATCCCAAATGGAATTTAAGACTCTGGAAGTCTCAGAGCTTAAATGATTAAGGATATCACCCAAACTAACTTCCCACTCAACACACAGATCCAAGCAATGTCTTATCATCTGTGTTCTAGAACATCACCAAATGTAAAATGCTCAACTTTCCAGCAACTATAGATAGAATAAGAAACAGCAGTGATGCTACTGGTCCAAAATAAATCATGAGAATTAAATGTAAAGTCCAGAAATAAACCCAAAAAACATAGACGATCTGAGTACGTTATAAAGGTGACATTTCAAATCCATGAGGAAAGTTTGGATTATTAAGTAAGGTATATTGAGATAATGGGTTCGCCATTTGTTGGGGGAAAAATTGGATCTATGCCTCATAACTTTCATCAAAATCAATTCTAGGTGCAGTAAAGATTTAAAGGTTAAGGCACATAAATAAACACATAAAAGGATGAGCAGGCAATGTTAATGAACATTTCTGTAATTTTAGTGTAGAAAACAAAAAACCTTTCTAAGCATGATTAAAGGAAGAAGCCACAAAAGATGGATGGATTTGACCAATTGAAAATGCAAAACTCCAATACAGTAAAGAATAAACCAAGTTAAGAGAAAACAAAATTTGAAATATATGCAACAAAGACTGTAGGTCTCTAATATATATCAAAAGCTCCACTCTACTGCTTGCAGAAGTTTCTGTGATCTATAACTCCCTGCCCAGCCAAATATTCCCATTTCATTATTTTCTTTTCTTACTGAACTGTTTTCGTTATTGCTTATTTAATTGCTTATATCCACTAAACTGGAAGTTCAAGAAGGCAGCAACCATGTCTACTTTGCTTACTGTTATATCCTCAACGCCTAACACAGTGCTAGACACAAAGCAAATAAGTCTGAAAACAGACTTATTAAATGAGTGAATAATGAATGCATGAATGACATTTTATGACTCAAAAAGAATCAAACTTTCAAATAGAAAACTGAGCCAAGGACACAAACTGGCAATGTACCATAAATTTAAATAATGCACTAATAATAAATATGATAATGTTTCAACATACTAGTGATCAAAAATGCAAATTATTACAATATATTCCTTATTATGTATCAGAAAGGCAAGTGGTACAAAGAATTAAAGTTCCCAGAGACAGAAGGAAGTGTGTAAATGAATATTTTCTTCCAGAATCAACAAGAGTGTAAACTGAGTCAATCTTTCTAGAAAATATTTTGGCAATATATTTTACATGTATGCCAAGTAATTCCACGTTAGGGAGATTCTCCTTTAAAAAGTCCAAAAAAAAACAAACTAAGATACAGTCATTCATTATTCAAAAAATATGTGCAAGAAAGGATGTGTATAGCAGCATTATTTGGAGGGATGGGAAAAATGTAAATAAGTCTAGGGTTGGTTAAATATGGTATAACCTTTCAATGGAATACTGTGTACCAATTAAAAATAAGCACCATATGCATATTTATGGAAATGAATAAGCTATATTGTCAACTGAAAAAAAGAAATTTACAGAAGAAATCAATAGTGTAATCCCATTTTTAAAATAGACATAGACATGTGTGCATTAAAGGGTCTGAAAGGATATTTGCTAACATGTTAACAGCATTTATCTCTGGGAGGTGAGATTTGAAACAATTATAATTTCTTTTTGCATATCTGTAATTTCTGAATTTTCCACAATGAGCATGTAGTACCTGTAGAATTTTTCAGGGAATAAACAGCAATGTTCACAATATATATTAAATAAAAAACACATGTTATAAAACAGTATGTATAGTATGACAATATTTGTAAAAAAGAAAATTATATATAAATATAACTCTGTATGTATATATATATATGCATAAGAAAGCTAGAAGGACATACGTTAAATGTTAATAGTAGTTATTTATGGGTAGTGGGATTATGGATGATTATTATTTCTTTTTGCTTTTCTGTGTTTTCTAATTTTTCTACAATGAATATGTATTACTTGTGTAATAAAAACTAATAATAAAAGTTTAAAAAAGAATGAAAAAGTGAAAGAGACAGTGTGACTCACCACTTGCCCTCACCCTCCCTAATTCCCCTTCCCTNCACCCTTAATTTATTCCTTGTCACTGTGGGCAGCGGCAGCGGAGATATGGAGAGGAAACATCAGGGCGCCACAATGTTTAAAGATAGGAAAGAGAGAAAGTAAGGGGGGGGGCGTTGATTGAGAGAGAAAGAAAGAGGGATGAGGAGGAAAGAGAGAGAGATGAAGAAGGTAAGGAAAAAAGGGAGGGAGGGGGAAACAAGGTAAGAGAAAGAAAAGTGAAAGTGAAGTCAGTGGAGGAAGGGTTAAAACAGGCTTTGGAAACTGACTCACAATAAAAGGTCTCAAAATTTAGCTCAGTTTTCTGATAGCTACAACAACAAAATACATTGAGTTAAATAATTTTATTTTCTAATAAAAGGGAATTGTATACATGTCTAGAGAGACACCTAGAAATTAAATTCTGACAGGGATGTAAAGTTTTTTCAAAAGGAGAACGTGGAGTTCCAGCTAGTTGTGTAACGGGGAGTTACACACAGACTTCTGTCTATATCTCAGATGTTCTACAGCCAAATACACAACTATGGCTAGCAGTTCCAATATCCATTCTCTCTCTCTCTCTTTTTTTTCCTTTAGTAACAGAGACCCTAAATTTCAGCAAGACACTGGCCACCTAAAGTAAAGACTGCATTTCTCAGACTCCCTTGGTTGTAAGCTGTATAACTGAATTTTGGCCAATAGAATGTGAGTGGAATCATGCAATTTCCAGGTAACATCCCTAAAATAAGGGGCATGCATCTCCATGCTCTTCCTCTCTTCTCACTAGGTTGCAATGAGCATGAGGTTGGGAGCTGAAACAATTGTCTCGGACCCAGCATGAAGATGACAGACGTGCCTTAGCAGACCTGGGTCACCCATCTCCATACTGTTATCAGCTTAATTCATTAATTAATCAGCTAACTTCTATCTTATTTAAAACATGAGTCTTTGCATAGAAAAACTTGTTCACTAAATTAATTCACTTCTGTAAGCCTCAGGTTCCTCCGAGTAACATGGAGACGATAATACCAATACACAAAAGGTCCAACGAACTAACTGTCCAATTACTTTCCTAGGCCCAAAGCTCCTTTTTGAGAAACATCATACGAATGAAACATTGCTTAATACTGTGTTACAGAACAGTGAACAAAGGAACATCTTTTCAATAAATAGTGTTTTTAAATCAAATGGTCAATTGATTTGCATATGGAAAAAAATTCAACTTCACCTTTACTTCATTCCAAGATGATTCTTGACCTTAAGGTAAACTGTGAAACAATAAATCTTCCAGAAGATTAATACAGAAGAAGAATGTCTTCATACCCATGGAGTTGTGAATTAATTTTTACAGGACACAAACCGCTTTGGAAAACTGTTTAACACTATCATAGAATATATGTGTAGTTTCACACTTGGGTAGAGACCCAACTGACATGTATGTGTGTGTATTCAAAGACAGGAAAGACTATCCATAGTGGCATTATTTGTAATAGCCAAAACCCATCAGCAATTCAAAGATCTATCAATAGAAGAATGGAAAATTGTGTTACAGTGATACAATTGAATACGATAGAGCAGTAAAAAGAAATGAACTCCATTACAGCTACATACAACCAGATGAAAGAATAAAACCATTATAATGTTGAATGAATGAAAGCTAGGTGTGAAAGAGCGCATACCGCCATTAGCAGCCAGCATTCACAGCAGCTGAGAGATGGGTGCTGCAGCTCAGTAAACGCAATCTGGGCAAGCACCACCTCACCGACTGCAGTGCACGCCCAGCAATGCTCACATCTGCTTGCTTCTCACATTGATGTATTCCAGCCAGGTATAGCTTCTTCTGGATTCTATTATCACAATTCATATATCCAAATAGAGGGATCATGGGACAAACCACAGCCTCACTTATGCAGCTGGTCCCAAGACGATATAGCTGATACTCCTCATCTCCCTTCTCTACCACCCATTCTAGATGCCCTCCTTCCTAGTCTGACATCTCTGAGTTGACTGGTACAACGACCCAGACCCTCACCCCCGAGTGGTCTGAGACCCTGGTTACCATAACTTTAGTAGATTGTGGTTGCTGTACTTGCCCATTTACAGTTAAACCTGGGCATGAGCATACCTGGAGGTGACCCAGTGGGTCATCTGAATGCCAAACATTCTCTTCTGTGCCCTCGTTATGTGGCAGTAGCTTTCCCTCCTCATGGTGATCAGGGCCAATGACCTCTATCACTATGGTAACTCTTTTATTTGCCTGCTAGTTTTCTGGCATGAGGAACCTAAAGTGACCAGATAGCAGTGGTCGCTTAAAGTTTCATGGTGATCTTATTTTCTTTCCTCTATGACCCAAGACCTCCAGACACACAGATTCTAGACCCCCAGATAGGAAGTGTAAATTCCTCAGTGGATCCCTATTAGAGGGAGAAGACCACTGGAGCCCTAAAAACCTCACTGACGTAGCAGACATCTTCATGTTTATAAGGTGTGTCTCCCGTCCTCTGGAGTTTGTGTGTCTTACCAAGGCATGTGGAGTCCTCACTACTTCATGCTCACCAAGCCCAGGTAACATGATGTCATTTACACAGTGCACAAAAGTGATGTCCTCTAGAAAAAACGCTCAGACCAACGGGATCTGACTATGCTGTTGTGAGGCATGGTGAGGTCTTCTAGGGACAGAGAAGCCTAGTTCCAAAAGGTCATATGAGGACATGGAGTTATGCTAAACCCCACTCAATGATTAGAACAAATATTATACAATGAGAACATACAGTGCTGTAGACATGTGAGGTCTACTAGAGATAGAGAAGGCGGGTTCCAAAAGGTCATCTGAGGACATGGAGTTGGGCTATGCCCCAGGTACACAGCTGCTAAGTAATAATATTATACGATGAGTACATAGAGTTCCATTCTCTATGTTCTCATTGTTAGATAAAAACCCATAACAATCTGGCATAATTTGTATTAGTGCCCAGGCACTTGCTGGTGGGTAAAACTCATGCTGTGCTTTTAGGGACTTCCTCTCCACCTGCCTCCTGTAAAACATCTGCTGGGGACAGTTAAGGATAGTGAATTTGTTGCTGGGAAGCTAAAAGTAGCAACTGTTATTAGGGAACCACAGCATCTCTAGAATCCTAATCCTCTTCAAACTTCTTGTATCTTTCTTCTGTCTAAGAAAGCACAATTAGTAGAGATCTTCAGAACTATGTTAAAGTCTCATGACACATACCTGAGGCTATATTAATCTGTTCTAGTAAAAATACCACATTCAGCACAGCAGCTATTATCGGGGCTTCTTGAATAAGTTTGTGGTAGTGTACTTCCTCTGCCACAATCCATCCAGTTTCTGAAGGAGCCAAACTGATTAATTAAACGGGGAATGTAATAAGATCCACCACCACTGAATCTCTCATTATCTGAGTTGTAATAATTGTTTTGATTCACTGACTTGGTGAGGATGGAAGAAAGTTTCAGGGACTTCCACTTAGCCTTTCCTATTACAACAGCTCTCCCTTTACATGTTCAGAAATCAATGTGATGGTACTGCCAATTGCCAAGCATGTCCATAAATTTGTATGTTTGGGAACTAGGGGAATGATTACCAAGTGGGCCCATGTGGAACCCACAGCCGACGCACTGTGAGGCAGACCTGGGCCAGAGCTCCATTTATGACTTCACCTCCATTTTTTCTACCCCTAATAGATGTGGGGTCCCTGGGCATCAGTGTCAATTCAGACCCTATATCTAAAGCCCTAGAAGGATCTAGACGTTCTCCTCTCCTCATTGTTTGGTTACCTAGGTAAATGGCCACAGGCCCCTTTGGGAAAGAATAGAGGACTCACTAATAATAAACTTATTAGCCTTGCAGGGCATCTTAACGTCCATGCAACTTTTTCAGTAGGCAGGTTCGTGTTCAGATAACAGTCTCAAGTGTGGAAACTGGATAAGAGATTGTCACTTTCCTTTGAGGAAGCTGATGTCAGCCTCATGCTCATCCATTTTTGATCTCTTCAAAATCTGGGTATTAAGTCATACCCTACCCTCTTGTCTTACCCCTGGGGATACCATCATCACCATTACTGGCCATATCCCTGCAGGTCAGCCTCTCCCGCTCCACCCTGATCTTGCCACCCATTACAGTAATTATGCCCAGCCTGCCTCTGATGGTTAGGGGCTCTCCCCTGTTCTTTGCTAATTCAGGACCCTATCATGCCCATTGCCACTAGGAGCTCAATTCAATAATAGCATGAACAAGGAGCCCTGGCCTAGAGGGGGTGGGCACCACACAGCTCTTTACTGATGCTGCTGTTCTCCTCATTAGCACATTCCTTACTGCCCTGGAAAAAATGGTGACCTCTGGGTCCTCGCAAGGAACAGAGTCAGCTACTGGGTTTTCTAGTCTCACAGTGGATCCATTTTAGCCAGTCTCCTCCTCTATACTCTGCCATGAGAGCACTAGCATCTCAACTTTATCTAATGTGAACCATCATTTTTTTAAGCTTCCAAGTGTCATTAAAATCATCTTCCAGGGCCCTTACCAAAGTGTTAAATAATGTCTCGTGGAAGAGTGTCTTCATATCCATCTTTTATATTCAGTCACCCCTTGATCCAGCAGCCTTTGGATCCACTCCTAAGCATGCTCCTAGTTTCTGCCAGTACACGTGAGGCAGCTCCTTTGGAGTATAATCCTTCACCTCCCTTCCTAAGCCCAGCAGTT